GGGGGCAGGGGAGGCCCTGGGGAGCTGCTGGTCAAAGTACAAGATCCAGATAGTTTAAGAGATCTATGCCTGGCCTGGTGACCCTAGTCACCATACCACAGTGTATACCTGAAAATGGCCGAGACAGGAGATGTTAAGTCTTCTCACCACAAAAAAATGGATAAATGTCCAGGTAACATATGCACTAATCAGCTTAATTTAGCCATTCCACATACTTATATCAAAATTTCATAAATACGAACAAGTTTTATTTCTCAATGAACAAATAAAACAAAAGGAAATAAAGATGAAGACGGAAAGTACATGAGGTAGTTCAATCAATCTCAATCACCTGAGCTGATGACAATTCCTTATGGAGTTTAAAATATGCATAAAAATTTAAAACATGAAACAACATATAAATCAAAAGAGGGAAAATAGAATTAAAAATGTTTTTGGTTACTTGCAGTTGTTCAGGAGGAAGGTAAAAGTAGCCAAGAACATGAGATCTTGGTGAGTCTAGGACACACATTGTCATCCACTAACAGCTGGAGGAAGAGGGTGTAACTATAACACTGAGCAGTGGAGGAAAAGAATTTCTTAAAGCCTTAGCCCAAAAGAAGTCAAGCAAGAAGAGGAGGTTCACAGAGCAGTTAAAACAAGCAGCAACACTAAGCGGTAGATTTAAGCTGAATCATCAGTAATTACATTAAGTGTAAATGGGCTAATAAGTCCAACTAAAGTACAGGGATATCCATGCTGAATAAAGGAAGAAACCCCAGGTTTTTAAAAAATATATGTGTGTTTGTTTGTTTGTTTAGACAAAGTCTCACTATTTGGTCCAGGCTGGCCTTGAACTCCTGGGCTCAGATGATTCTCCTGCCTCAGCTTCTAAGCAGCTGGGAACCACAGATGCACATTATGTGTCCAGCAGGTTATATGCTTTTTATAAGTAATATATTTAAACTATAAGGATGCAGGAAAGTTAAAAGGTGTAAAGAATACATGGTGCAATCCCTAACCCAAAGAAAGCTGGCCACTGCTATAACAATACTAGTAGATAGCCTGCATATTACTGTATGGTATGTCTTTAAAATGAACATTGCCATAAAGGTAAAGAAGTTCATGTCTTAATAAAAAGTAGTTGGATTTAACAGTAACACACACTCAGACACACAGGTGTGTATAATCTGCAAATATATATGCTTATATATAAGTCATTTGTCTGTAACTAGTCTGAATTAATAGTTTCTCTGCTTAGAGTGGTTAGGCTACCCTACAGGATGATAGTAAGATGCCTGGGGCTGAGGTTAAAAGGCAGATATCATCTGGGAAGAGACCAGCGCATGACTTGAGGTTGAGAAGACCACACAGGAAGAGAGGAGAGAGTATGTGCTAGATCCAGCCCCTTGCAATGCACTGGCCTCCACGGCCAGCGGGTCTGTCCTTCAGGTGACAGATGACGGTGTTCACATGCTGCAGTGGAAGGACCTCAGGCCTCCCCTCACCCTAGGGAGCTGAAAAGAGCTGGGGATGTGCCTAGGGGCCTCAACCCAGGTCCTTGAGCAGAACAGAGCATGCACAAGACTGGACTGGGAAGCATGTTCCCTCACAGGACAAAAAGTCCAGCTCAAGCTGTGTGGGCTCCTTTTTATAAATAATGTTCTGGGCCCAAGGCCTACCTTTGTATAGCTGAGCAGGAGTGGACAGACTGTGGGACTGCCTTTCTAGACAGAAAGACATAGACATAGTACAAAATCTGACAGAATTACAAGAAGTTTACAAATCTATAATACTGGGTTTTCATATATTTCTTGTGGTAAATGGTGAAATAAGTAGACAAAATTACATATCTTCTATCAGTAAGGAAACAGGAGACATGAAAAGCACAGTGAGCAGACCAGCCCACAACACTGCACTGAGCCCTGTCCTGTCCTGGGGTCCTCAGGAGTGGCTGTCCTCTTTTCTTCAGGGGTTCTAGGACCACGGACTTACTCAGGACGGGAGTGGGTGAGAGGCTGTGATGTCAAGCCAGGCCTTGACTTGCTAGGAAGTTAGTGGGTGGTTTTTTTAGTTTGGTTCCTGGTCGACACCTTCTCCATAAACGTGGTCACAGAGAACGAACGGTCACCATCATGCTCCAGATATGATTCCACAGGTAAAGGAAAGGAAAAGCTCTGGAGTAAGAACAGCAGCTGTGGAAGTGGAGGTGGTCCCCCTGTGGCAGGCTGGGAGAGCCTACTGATACTTTTGGCCATTGCCTCCTTTTCCCTTTGTAGTCAAGGTCAGTTAACTGGTGTCTCCTTGGCCCCCCTCCATGGCTTCCCCACACCTCTGCACCTGATAATTTAGGGCAGGGTCTCTCAGTTCCTCACTGACCACACTACTAACATTTGGGGTGGAACATTGGTTGGGGCTCTCTTGTGCACTGCAGGATGATCAGCTGTACCCTGGACTCCAGATGCCAGTCCCACTTCCAGTGTGACCCAGTCCCACTTCCCAATGTCCAGAGAGGTCTCTAGATGTTGCCAGATGTCCCAAGAGGAGATGACCTTTTGTTGAGAACCACTGGCTTAGCTGTTTAACCATGAGAAGTAAACATTAAAATATTTTTGTAGAATATGTATAACCACCTCACCCTTGGGTTATGGCCCCATAATTATATTTCAAGTGGCTATATCATAATTTATACCTTAATCCTGCTTATTATCACACATTGTTTCCAAATTGTGCTAGTCTGTTATGTTGAATTTGTACCTAAAAGGGAGGTAATATAGCTGAGTAGTAGAGTAGCACACAATAAGGAAGAAACTTAAACATAATCTCTTGAGGGCCTCATTTATTCTTTCTTGGTTATATGATTCCTCTCCCCCACAATATCCAAAGCCAAACCCGACATGTGGTATTTATTCCTCCTATAAAGGCAACTGGAGTGAGGACTTATATACTGGATAACAACAGGTGTGATTAAAAGGCTTAGCACTTTATTCAGAATCAAATATGGGAGGTCAGAATGCAACAGAAGGGAGGAGCAGCATCCCAGAGATGAGGTCTTGGGAAACTCCCTACCTTGCTCTCCCTGATGGAAAACAAGCTGGCTAAGTGCCAACTCTGTGTCTGTATCTGAAGCAATGAACAAGAAAACAGGAGGGATTGGCTTGCAGGTTGCCAGATGTTTCCTGACAAAAGGTGTAGTTACATTTGGGACACTTGGCAAACCTGCCATATGCAAATAAGTGCTGGGAAAGAGTCCTGGGGATTCACCTCCACCAAGTGCTTTGAGAAGTCGTTACAGGTTATGAAACTAGTGCTCTAATCATGGTTATCTATGGGAAGCAGTGAAAGCAGTTCAGGTGACAAAGCTGTGGCTAAATAGGCCAGAGCAGTGGTGACTGCAGAAAGGAAGGAAATGGAAGAGATCTAGGTTTTGCAAAGTTGAGGTCCTGGGAGCTGCTATTAGGAAATAGGAAAATACCCTTATCCCATAGGAACTGACATGGGTCCAATTATATTGTTATATCGTGTGCATGTATGAAAGTGTAACAAATCCCACCCTTGGGTACAACTTTAATGAACCAATTAAAGATATGGAGAAAAATCCTTATTCTAGACTGGTTTAAAAAAAAAAAAGCACTGACTCTACAAATGTACTCTACAAATGTTCTAACTACTGGATTCCTTGAGGCTAGAGGAAGTCACATTAAAACTACTACATTTAGGGGCCGGGGTTGTGGCTCAGTGGTAGACTGCACTGGGTTCAATCCTCAGCCACATGTAAAAATGAAATAAAAGATATTGCGTCCACCTACAACTAAAAAATAACGTTTAGAAAAACTACTACATTTATATCAGTGTTTTTTTTTTTTTTTCCATAGCCATGTCACCTCTAATCAAAGGGTAGTGGATGGCTGGGGTTGTGGCTCAGTGGAAGAGAACTTGCCTAGCACCTGCGAGGCGCTGGGTTCAATCTTCAGCACCACATAAAAAATAATAATAATAAAAATAAAAGGTATCTATCCGTCTACAACTAAAGAAAATAATAATAAGGGTAGTGGAATACTGTGGGTGTCAACCAGGGTAAGAAGTCACACATTCGGAGAATCATATGCCTAATACCCACATGTAAGGTCCCCAGGAGCCTCCTTTATCTGCAAGGAATCTGGCTAGTCAAGCTCGCACTCAGCGTTGCAAAGGTGTGCCGAGAGTCGATGAGTTACTCTCCTGGGAAAAGAACATTCCTAGGGCTCTCCTTTTTTTGGGGGGGGGCGCGGGAGGGCGTGTACCACGGATTGAACTCAGGGACACTCAACCATTGGGCCCCATCCCCAGCCCTATTTTGTATTTTATTTAGAGACAGGGTCTCACTGAGTTGCTTAGGGCCTTGAGGTTGCTGAGGCTGGCTTTTAACTCACAGCCTCTAGCCTCAGCCTCCCAAGTCGCTGGGACCACAGGCCTGAGCCTCCGCGCCTGGTTTAGGACACTTCTGATGGGCCTCGTCACTAACACGCGCAGCCCTGGTGCGCCTTCGCTCCTAGCTCAACAGGAAAGCTGCAGTACGTGCCTGCCCCGTGCAAGTGGCCGGCGGGCTCGGGGGTCGTCGCGAGAGTGCAGCCAGGGGGCTGCGGGCCGGCACGCGTAGGTCCTGCCCATCGCAGTCCCCGACCCGGCGGTGCCGCCGCCAGCCCTTGAGGGGGCGCAGTGTGAAAGTCTGAGGCTCACGCCCGGAGCCGTGACCAGAACACCCTACGCCTCAAGTCCTCGAAGAAGCTCGTCTCCCGAGGGCGACCGAGTGCGGGCCCAGGTACTTCGCTGGCGCCCGTCGGATTTCCGGGCTACAGTTGCGCCTGCGTGCCCAGGTTGCGGGCACTGCGCGGAGGGCGGCAGCGCCGAGCGGTGGAGATGCTCCGGCGGCGGGGCCGGAAATGAGAGCGGCCGGGAGAGAGCCGGCGAGGACTCAGCACGCGCGCCGGAAGTGTGCACGGCCGGGGAACGCCGGCGACGGAGCCGGAAGTGTGCGCGGCCGGGGAGCGCCGCGAGCGGGCTTCCGGTGTGCGTGGCCGTCACGCATCGCGCGGTTTTCCCGCAGGCCCTTGTCCTGTCTTGTAGAGGGCGCGGGCGCCGTGCTGCGTTCCGCGGCCTGTAGTCTCCGCGCGTCCCAGCGAAGGCAGCCCAACATGAGCGGCAAAGAAGGTGGCGTCCCCGGAGGGCTCGGGCGCGGGCGCGGTGACCGTCGGGTCCCGGGCTGCGCCGCCATCCTATCGCAGCGGCCGCGCCCGCCGCCGGGAGGCCCGGGGATCCCGGGCGCGGGAGGCCGGGGCGGGAGGGCGCGGCGGCGCGAGTCCACCTAGCGCCCCTCTCTTCTGCACAGGCCCGGGCGGCTTCAGGAAGAGGAAGCACGACAACTTCCCGCACGGCCAGCGCAGAGAGGGCAAGGATGTGAGCGCGTCGTCGCCGGTGATGCTGGCTTTCAAGTGTAAGTGCCCCGGGCTGGCGGGCGGGGGCTGGCCGCGGCGCGTCCGTGTGCACCTGCTTTCCCGGGCTGCCGCTGTGGGCACGCGGGTGGTTCTGCCTGGAAAGCCTGGAGTCTAGGCGTGACTCCAGGGCCCGCTGCCCCCACGCTGGCATGAGGGCACGAGTGAATGGCAGTGGGTACTGAGCACGGCACGGGCCTGGACGTTGCCCTGGGCCTGGTCGTGGTGCCTCGGCTGGTTGCCTAGCATATTCGTGTTCAGTGTGTGTTAGTTTTGTTAACCAGTCTTTTGAAGGCAGACTGTTGTGATCTGACACAGGAAGGGACCATTGTAAGTGGATTACATACGCGTATAGATCCATGGTCGCCTTGTTCTCAGCCTTCTAAACTGGTCAGGTTTCTCTCCATTTTGAAACCACAAGACACACGTTCTCTGCCCCCTCTGTCTACTGACCTGTACTGCATAGTTTCTATGGTTCAGTAACAAGGAAGGTATTCACCTGGCCGGTTCTGACTGGCAGTCATTGGAAGCTAGATTGGGGCTTGAGGGATTGAGCTGTTCACAGTATAAGCCTTCTGACTACAAGCAGCTCTCTGTTCCTGGCCATAGAGCTGCGGGAGTGTTCTTATGAATGGTACCTACTTTCCCTAAAGAGAATAAGGAAGAAACCATGGGTCCTTAACCTGCAAACCTCAGACATCACACATTGTCACTTTTACCACATTGTATTTGCTAGAAGCAAGGCAGTTTTAAAACTACCTCATGTTTAAGGGGAAAGGAATTAGGTTTCATTTTTTAAAAGGGGAGAGTCACAGATATTTTGAGGCTAGCACAGTATCTACAGTGATCTCCAGTGATTCAAGAAAATTAGCTGGAACTGAACAGAGAGCATACTGATACAGCTACATACTTGGGGGAGAAACTAGCAAGTCAAGTGTTCTGCACTTCACATTCCCATATAGCACTAGCTACTTCTGGCATGTTTTGCATTTCTGCCTGCTTTGGAGCACATAGTTCTTCAGCTTGGAGTTGCTCCTAACTCAGTGCCTTCATTGCCTATTTGGTGAATCATGATTTTCTCTGAGATCTGGTTCAAGTAACTTGTTGGTGGTAAACATGTTAATTATCCATCCACCCAGTGAAGAGACGGTTATTGATATCTCTTAGCTAAATCTAATATATATATTTGCTATAGCACAATTACATCTTATTTATTTGTTTTATCTCTGATACTGGTCTGAGCTCCTTGAGGATAACAACTGTATCTTATCTAATTTTATATTCACCACATCCAGCTCACAGTGAGCCTTGAAGTATGATTAAATAATAAGTGTCTATTACCTTGAAATATTGGATGAAATCTTCGCCTAATTTCATCTTAGTAATAAAAGCTGCTTATAAAAATTATAATTGAGGTTCTGGCCAGCTGCTAACTTGGCTAATAGTTTGTTTAAGTTCTTGCTTTTTAATTCTTGGCAGAACACATCTGTCGATTCCCTATAAGCCAGGCAACTTCCTGGGTCTTTGGAGTGAAAATGCTTCTGAAATAAGGTCATTAATGAGAGAAGTAAGTGGTTTATGGGCATTTCAATGATGATGCTTGAGAATTTGGAAAGTTGATACTTGAAATTTGCCAAGTAGCTCTGAAATACTCTCAGCCACATAAAAATAGACCTTTGTGAGGTGATGGGTGTGCTCCTTGGCATGAGGATGTCACGGTGTCCATGTGTACCAGCATCAGGTTGTATGTTGTATGTACTCATGATCGTTTTTTGGTGCTAGAGATTAAACCCAGGGCCTTGTGCATGCTGGAAAAGTGCTCTGCCGCTGAGCTACATCCCCAGCCTGTGTGCACAATTTTGATGTGTCAGTTACAACTTGGTGAAGCCATGATGACAGGAAGACAAGCAAAGAAAAGGAAAAAGTCATCAATGTGAAAAAAGGCATTTATTTTCTGGAGATATATATATTGTATGTGGAAAGCTATTTTATCTTCTGGGTGACAATTAAAGTTAATTTTTGTAAGCAGTTTGTGTCATTTTATGATCACATTTCATGTTCATGAAGGTGGGCATGTCTTTATATTTTGCACAAAATGCTCATTGTAAGCCTCCTTTGTGGGAGAACCCAAATAAGGCATGTCTGCAATTTAAGAATATTTTGGTTTCTAGTAGAGCCTTTAATTTCCATGTAATTTAGAAATAAGGTGATTTTGTCCTCTTCATTTTTGTAGAGTAAATAATTGCTTTGTGCATATTAACAGTATTTTTAAGTGCAGTTTTTGCCTTCTAGCCATTTTGTATTCTAAGCAAATTAAAATATTCTCCTTCTCCAAGATTGCCATGTGTCCTTGTAAACATTACAGGTCTGTGGGAGGAGGTTTCAGCAGAGGTCTTTTTTTTTTCCTTTTAAGTTGTGATGATACAATAACTTTGTATTATTTATATGTGGTGCTGAGGATGGAAAACAGTGCCTCACACATGCCATTCAAGTGCTCTACCTCTGAGCCCCAGCCCCAGCCCCAGGAAGGTCTTCAATGAGAACACTATCTAACAGAGAAAATGTGATGAGATGATGTAGTTGGTTAAACTTAAACCCAAGGTGCTTCAGGAAATACTTTGCTGTCAAAGGTACAAAACTTACTTCATTAAAAGGAGTCATTAGATGAATATTTTACTACTGTTGATGCATAAGAGTAAAGAAACTTAAAATCTTATTTTACAATATCAATTTTATTTTTTAAATATTTTTTAGTTGCCAATGGATTGTGCTGCTTTTCTGCAGGTAGCAGGACATGAGGGAAGGCCTTGCAGCAGATTGAACAGTGCTTTAGAACTGATTTGTATCAGTAGCTCTAATGAATAGTTATAGTGTGAATTCCAGCAGCATAACGTCCATTTAGAAAGGCTGCTGTTCACAGTTACAGGGAGGGACAGTTCATTGCGTGCTGGAGTTAGTGCTCAGAGGGAAGGTGGATTTGTAGTATCTTTTCACAAATTTTGTTTATGGGAAATAGCATTCCACTGGCAGGTGGTAGATTAATTTCAAACTGTAGATGTGCTCTTGTCCAGCATGTTGTACTACGGTGACTTTAGCTAGCAAGTCAAGTGTTTTTCAACATCTGTTTCTGGGCCTTCACCGCTGTCTTGTGCTCTGAGGATGCGGTGGTGAGGATAGAGCTCTTGCCTTCATGAATGAACCAGTTAACACACTGATAAGTAGACAATATAATGTTAGCTGGTGAAACATAAATGCTGGGAAATAAGGAACCAGCAAAGCATGGTCAGGGTCTAGAGAGGAAGCGAGAAGGGGCAGCTGCCATTCACACATCCGCTGGCATCTGAGTGATGAAGTGTGGATCACGAGGTGGTCAGTGGGAATGATGTTACAGAGTGGCAGCAGTGTGAAACAGGAGTAGCAGGAAAGCAGTATGCAGGCCAGGGAGGGTGTGATTTCACTATTTGAATATCTTGGATTCTATGCATTACTTTTCCTGCAGGTGATCTTAATATGTCTAGAGACTCCTGGTGTTGGACTGTTTTAGTTTTTGTTATTTATATATGTGTATTTTCTGTGTAGTATAATAAAATGAGCTTTTTTTTTATTCTAGAAAAGGTAAAATATTTTCTTTCAATTAAATTAACCTTTTTCTCCATTATAAGTATACCCAATGCCACAGATGGGGTCTTTTAAAAAGTAATAAAAATGATTTTGTTACTTGGTATAAATTTTAGTAAAGAAAACATCTTGAGACTGAAACAGCAGTTCATGGTGAAGAGTTGATTATTTTAAGAAGCTTAAAAAACACTTTGTATTTGATTAGTATTTAATTAGGTTTTTTTGTAAATAAAGGCAATTAGAATAAAAATCTTTTCTAATATTTGTCAAAAACAATTTGAGCAGAAGAAATGGAAATTTATTAGTTTAAAAGCAATTATATTTCACCAGTATAAACAGAAATTCCCTTCAGTAGTGCCTTTAGCAGTAATTGCTCATACAGGATCAGGAAAAACAGGATAGGAGTCAGAGTGGTCACATACAAGCAAAGGATGTTTGGGGCGAGACGTTTTAGAGATTGTGCAATGCCTTGTTCTATAATCAAGAAGGAAAAGAGGAGTGAAAGTGGGGAAGGAGACTCTCGTGGTTACATAGTGTTGTGGGGACTCTGGTCTCTTCACAGTGACAGGATGAATCATCAGACTGTAAATTAACTGAATACCACAGCTGCTTTCAGTCTCCCTTGTTCTGGGAACTCTTACTTTCTAGTTTTCTCCTTGGTTCTCCTCTTCCTAGATTGATTGGTCGATTTCTTTCTTTTTCTTTTAAGTATTTTTTTAGTTGTAGATGGGACACAAAATCTTTATAATTTATTTATTTATTTATTTTTATGTGGTGCTGAGGATCGAACCCAGGGCCACACGCATGCAAGATGCGCGCTCAACCACTGAGCTACAGCCCTAGCCCCTGATTGATTTCTTTCTTTCCTTTTTTTTTTTGAAAGGTAGTTGTGAAGTTGGGGGAGAACACTCTGTGCCATTCTTTTTTTTTTTTTTTTAAGAGTGGTGCTGGGGGTTGAACACAGGGTCTTGCACATGCTAGGCAGACACTTCATCAGTGGGCTGTGTCCCAGCCCCCTCTTTATGATTTATCTTCTCTTCTTTTTTTTTTTTAAATATTGTGTTTAGTTGTAGGTGGACACAATATCTTTATTTTATTTATTTATCTTTATGT